AAATATTTACAAGTTTCTGGATTTTTCCTACAATAGGAGAAATCCTAATTCTTCCCTTTACAAATAAACTTTACAGCTATTTTTTTTTATAAATAAAGTAGCAGTGATTACAATATGCTTCATTCTCGGTCTTTCTCCATAAGGCGGTACAGAGCACGCACTTAACGTGTCATTAAAGAAACCAATTCTTTTTTGTTTGTAATTAAAAAGTTCTTAGTTTTTGGTCCATAATTGATTCGGACAAACCAAGGATCGGAACAAGTTGGATTTGATCTATTCGCTAAACTCGTGATTTTGAAGATTTTATTTTTATTTTTAAATGGTTAGCTAATACATCAATTGAACTACCAAATTGTATCGTTTTTCTCTTCTCGAATAATCATCCTTCCTAAATTTACTTGATTAGTGAGTAAGTTTGAAGAAGCCCTTTGCATTGCATTGAAAAGTTTAGTCGTAATTCTTATTCATCATAAAGGAAAAATGATAAGTAGAAAAGCCAAACCGAGACATGCCCCTGTCCCTGGAGAATGAATACTTGGATTGATTCTTGCTTGAACACTGCGTATGGTGATTTGATTTCTAATTTCATTTTACATATATACTTTTGTTTCAAACATTACAGAGTAGAATATATCTACAAATTCCAAGAATAAACTCGGTAACAATCGGTCCTTAAAGTTACTCTATATTGCATTTTTGTTGTTGCTATTTTTAGCCAACTCCCGTTTCTTAATTTCTAATTTAAGCTTCATACATTATTAATTACTAACACAGAAAATTGCATAAAAGCCCTAGGAATATTATATCTTTACACCCAAAAAAAAAACTAAATCAGAGAAACACAAACGGAACCTTCTGATTGCTACTATCTTGCTCATTTTCTATCGTTCTATTCTCCTCCGCCGTCGCCGGTAAAAAAACGTGAAAATCTTCTCCGACTAAGCACCGGCGCGTGAGTTTCTGGCATGAGGTGCAGAGCACGCGCCGCACGTGTCTCCATGCAAGAAAATTTGCACCGTGAACCCACCGGTCGCATTTTCTACAAAGAAAAGCCGAGTCGGCCTCGCAAAACACGGAGGCGTCGCCGCCGCAGAGCTCACACCTAACCGGAACAGTCGGTCTCGTGCAAAGACTCCGGCAACCTCCTCCGTCGCTTGATCGGCTCTCTTCTTCATTCACGCCTCTACACAT